TAGGCCTGTGGGGGGGGGGACATAGCTTGCGATACAACTGAGTTTCCTGTCTACATAGAAGGTAGTGAAAAACTAATTTATACAAAAATAAAAGAATTAAAAACAGAAATAATTTTGGAAGGATTTGATAATGAAGTTAGAGAGAAATTAGATAAACTAATGATTATGAGTAATGAGATAGGAAAGGACGAAACACTGTTTTGGAGGAACATCTTGATACTTGTGAAAAAGTTCTTAAATATAATAGAAAGGATTGATAGGATAGACCAGGTTTTGAAGAGTACAACTTTAACGACAGATGAAAATATGGGGTCTGAAGTTTTGACAATAAACATACATACGTATTTTAGCAGTATCATAGATCATTTCAACCAAGAAAAGACAAGGGGTAAAAGAGACGAGATTACATTCAATATTTTCCGTTCAATTGGAAAAAACAACGAGTACATAGACATGAAGAGTGTAGTAGATTGCAGTTCGACAGTCGAATACAATAAACGAAAAAATATATGTATAAAACGTTTTCTTAACATGATTAAAACCCCTGTAATAAATTTTATTGGTTCAGACATTTTGTTCCCGCTAATTATACTACTTGAGAAACCTATACCAGTACTATCAAATAATGAAATAAAACAAATAATGATAATGTTAGATTTAGGAGAAAAGTCAAAAAGTGAATTTATTTCAATACTCAGAGAGAAATTAGTAAACCCGGGAACAGATTACAATGAGGCAAGACAGGAAATAGAAATTAGGGATAGGATAATAACAGAAAGTACAACAGAACAGGAAGTAGGAAATAGGAATAGGATAAGTAGTACAACAGAAAGACAGGGAGTAGGAATTAGGGATAGGATAATAACAGAAAGTACAACAGAAAGACAGGTAGTAGGAATTAGGGATAGGATAATAATAGAGAGTACGACAGAAAATCAGGCACTAGAAAGTACAACAGAGAGACAGGAAATAGAAATTAGGAATAGGATAAGTAGTACAACAGAAAGACAGGAAATAGAAAATAGGAATAGTAAAATAGACACTACAACTGAAAAATATGAAATTAAATATCAGGTACAATCAGATATGCCCATCGAAAACTCATTAGAAGAAGAAAAACAAGCTAGAGTAGAAAACGATATTAAAATAACAAAAGAGGTCTTAGAAAATGAAAGAGATATAGGAGTATTAAAGGGACAGTTAGCTGAACTGATAGGGAATTTTAACGCAATACAAATACAGACATCAGACATTGACCAAGCTAGAGTAGAGAGTGACATTAAAATAGTGAACGAAGTTGTGGAAAATGAAAGAGATATAGGAGTATTAAAGGGACAGTTAGCTGAACTGATAGGGAATTTTAACGCAATACAAATACAGACATCAGACATTGACCAAGCTAGAGTAGAGAGTGACATTAAAATAGTAAACGAAGTTGTGGAAAACGAAAGAGATATAGGATTGTTAAAAGGACAGCTAGATTAACTTAAAGGGAATTTAAACGTAATCCAAACACGGACATCAAGTATTGAACAGAATGAATATACAGATATGGCAATTTTCGTATTTCTAAAAGAGATAATTAATTACCTAGAAAACATGAACTATTTATCAGAAATCAACACGTGGGAAAGAAAAATTTGCAGATTAAGTTTAAATAAATTCATCATAAAAGAAAAGATTTTAGAAAGTGACTTACTGCTAAAAACAATTATTCCAATTCCAACCTGCAATAATCTTATATGCTCATACCGAGTATATAATGGATACATCCTAAATGATAATGACTACATAAATGAAAAACATTGCGAATTCAGAAATTCAAATTATTGCGAAGAGTCAAAAAAAGTAGAACTATGCAAAAATATGGACTGCAAAGTAATAAAAAAGCTTAACCATACAAATGAAATCTTCATTTTTGAAAATGTCATGTTTCTCTATCCTAAGAAAACAATAACCTTGTTTAACTTAACATTTGTTAGGAATAAGAATTACTTGATCAGGTCGAAGGACACCATAACTTTTAATTTTGAAGGAGAAAATTACACTTTGTTAGGAAGCAATTTAGTTAGGGACATAGAAATAGTAACTTA